ACCTCTCCAGCATTTGTTATTGGTTGAATTCTTGATGATGGCTATTCTTTCTGACGTAAGATGGTACCTCAGTGTTGTTTGAATTTGCATTTATTGAATGATGTTGAACATTTTTCACATGTTTATTTGCCATACAGAAATCACTTTTGAATTCCTATTATTTTGTATCAGTTCTGATGCTGGATTTTATTACTATTTTATATTCTCTAAAAAAATAAATAAAAGTCAAAAAATTAGTCCACAACACCAGCCATCATTTCAGAAACTATCTTCTGCTAAAGTATCCTCTATTAATGTGACAGTTTTAACACTACCCTTTATATCTCAACAACAGTGGATCATTCCATAGATCAAGCCATAAATTTTTTTTTTCTTACCCAAGAGAAAAACAAGTCTGCCTTCTGATAAGATTAAACAGTAAATAAACATAGTAACTGTGGTATTTTTTGGGAAAGGGAGGTGGCCTCAAGATATGAAAAAGCATTTGAGGGAACCTCCGAACTCAATTATCTGTACCCTAGGATCACAGTGGCTTGGTGAAAGAAGTGAGGGGGGGTCCTGATTGAAAAAATTTTCAACAAAACTCAGCAGGAGAAGTTTTCCTGGGCCATCGACATGGCTGATGAGGACTATGAGTTTTAGCCGGTCTGAAGGGGCAAGGTTTTGTGAAAAGAACAGTGTGGTTTGAGGAAGATGGATAAACTGTGAGCCTCACTTCCCCTCATGCCTGAGGGAAAGAGGAATCAAGTCTTAACCAACATGTTTGCAAAAAGATAAACCTGGATATATTATAAGGGAAAGCTGAGCCAGTTGCCCTATGGACAACCTACTTAAAAATATTTCAGATATCAAAATTCTAGCTGTATGATTTGTTTTGAATTTTATTTGCAGTGGGCAAGTGGATGGGGATTTGTCAGCATTTGCCAGGCAAATTCACTGTTTCACTGAAGTGTTTGGATTCTCTTAGCTACTGTATGCGAAGTCTGATTATATTGGTGCATTTTTACAGTTAGGGTTTTGCAATAACTGCAATATTTTAATAGAAACAATTCCTCAACTCCCTCCCCCCACTTCAGGAATTTAAAACTAAGTAGAACAAAAACCCAGCGAGCCTGTTACAGTCTTCACTCCATTGTCATGGGAATCAGTTTTCATGAGACTTAGAGCAGTTATGACATTGACAGTGTTTTGGCTCAGACAGAAAAGCATGATGAGAAAATACTTCCTGACTTGAGTGTTCCTTTTTAAATGTGAATTTTTATTTCTTTTTAATTATTTTAAAAATATTTAAACCTTTTTCTTGATCTTAAAGGTAGTGTAAAGTGGGGTCGGGGAGGGATGAAGAGCAAGTCTCTAAGGATAATGAAATAATGACTGAAACCATTTTCCCATCATTCTTTGTTTGGAGCATTCTCTGTACCCTTGAAGATAGCCATCTTTTTCTTTTCAAACCTCAGTCTTTCACTTGAACGATTTTATTGTATGAAAAGTTCCACAGGAATAGACCCAGAGCGCAGGCCCGGCAAGTGAGTGAGAGGACCCGGGCCCTCCAGATCCTGAATAGACTCAGAGCTCAGGCCTACCAAGTGAGTGAGATGACCCGGGGCCCATGCCTGGCATGTGAGTCAGACTACCCAGTGCCCGCGGATCTTCATTTGACCCAGCAAGGAACCCTTCAGCAGAATTCCCTACAAAGAGGCTGGAGGCAAGACCCACCCAGCTGGTTCAGGAGCAGAACATCGTGCCAGAGAAACACAAAGGGTTCAACTCTAACGCCTGCAGCAGAAAGGAGTGGAGCATACCAACCAGATCCAAACAACACCCTCCTGGAGGAATCTGAACTTCATAGATCCGGACCTGGTGCTAAGGTAATAACTCTATCTAAGCTCTACACCAAAGGTCAGAAGGCAGTGGTATACAAAATGACAAAGACAAGGAACAAAATGCAGTCTCAGGCCCCGAGTCCACCCAGTACAACTGCAGAAGAGACTAGCACTGAGGAAACTGGAAATCACATGCCAAATATCTCTGAAATAATAGCATTGGCAGTAAAGAAACAAATGAAGAAAGGTATAGAAGAAATCAGATCAGAAATAATTTCAGAACTAAAAAATGTAGTGATAACTACAATCAAAGAAGTACTAAGTGCTTCTAAAAAATACACTGATAAAAAAAATAGAGCAGAATATAAAAATGATGGAACCCCTGAATAAGCAATTTAGGAAAGAAATAGAATGTATGAAACAGGTTCAAAGTGATATACAGGAAATTAAAACCTCAATCACAAGCTGGCAAAACTGTTTGAGGGAAAGTGAAAATAGACTTTCTGACCTGAAAGACACCATTGCAGCTAGTGAAAAAGTAAGAAGAGATCTCTGAAAAAATAATTCAATACTTGCAAGACGATGCAAAGATGAACAATGTGAGACTAATAGGCATCAATGAGAAGGAAGGAGTCAATACAAATGATATAAGAAGAAATATGAGCAGAAGTTATAGCAGAAAACTTCCCAAATATGGGGCAACAATCTGACATTCATGTAACCGAAGCATATAGAACTCCAAATAACATCAACCCAATAAAAACTATGCCCAGACATACAATAATCAAGATTCCAGAAATTCAGCATAGGAACAGTATACTAAAAGTTGCTAAAGAAAAGAAACAGATCACTTTTAAAGGAAAACCCATCAGAATAACGGCAGATTTTTCTTCACAAACCATCAAGTCAAGAACAGCATGGAGCAAAGTACTTCAGGTCTTGAAGAAAACAAATTCCAACCCAGACTGATATATCCTGCAAAACTCTCTTTCAAGTATAATGGAGAAGTGCAATACTTCCATGACAAAGAACAACTAAAGAATTTCATGATGACAAAGTCAAGCCTACTCGGACTACTAAATGATGTTCTAGAAAGGGAGCAAATTGATTACAGCCCCATGAATGAGAATGGAAAGAACCCACCAAATAGGGCAAACAAACACAGGAGAATAAGAGGTATACAATAGTAGTCTTTCAGTTATTCTTTTGTGTTCAGCAGCAAAATATTTCCATTAGCACACTCTACAAATGGACTTCTCTTCCACCCTATGTGTCATGATTCCACCTGAGTCTACAGGGTGGATTTCAAAGAAATAGCTGTAACTCACTTCCACAAGTGACGCCTAGCCACCAGTAACTGTCACGGTCATTATGCATGTCCACAACACACTAGAACTTTGTGCGATATCCTATCCTCAAACTGTTAGAAGTGCTGGTCATTTACTTGCCATTCCAGTATTTATCTTATGTTTTACTCTTAGTACTTCTTTGCTACATGAAAACTTTTTCTTAGTTCAATTGTTTTGAAATATTTAATATTTAATTAGTATTTAATTTTCTGAATATTGCTTAATCTTAATTTTTGTTCTAAGATTTATACTATATCTTTGACTTACAATTTATTTAAAAGACATTGTATGATATCTTCTAGTATTAGAAACTTTAAAAAGTATATTTCCATTTTCTGTTTACTTTATATTACTTCTTCCCTGTCTTTTATGCATACATACACACACATATATATGGAAAAAATACGTGTATAACCCAACATAAGATTGCTACTATTTCATAGAAATCTGCAATGACTTTTAAATAAAGGTTCATCTAATATATCTTTTATATAGTCCTGCATAACTATCATATTGAGAGTTCTTTATTGTTCATCCAGGAACATACTTCAACTTCTCTTGCCTTTTGAATTATGCTCTTTGTTATTTCCTATATGCTACTTCTGGAGGTATTAAAATATTTCAAGTTTGTATAACTAGAAAATCTTACTTTTAGTTTTCAAAGGTATGTTGCTAAGTATGAAATTCAAAGAGAACAGATCTTTTCTTTCAGTCCTTTAATTAATCTAGTTTCTTACACCCTTGGTCCTTTTTTTTCTTTCTAATGTGGAATAAGATGCTATTTAATTTTGCTCTCCCATAGCTAATATTTCTATGTATATGCTTTAATATTTTTTTCTTTACAAGAAGTTTTGGACAATTTCATTTTTGTGCATCTTGGTGTGATTTTATTTAAATGTCTTTGAAAAAGGTTCATTTTTCTTGGAAATGTGGTATTATAAGTTGAATTAAATTCAGAAATTTTAAATTTTTTTTAAAATGCTTAAAATTATTGTTTGAAGCAAGGTACAATTCCCCTATGATGAATGCTATCACTATGTATATGTAAAATGTACCAATAAAAAAATTCAAGGGAAAAAAAGATAATCTACATTCACTTTAATAGAAGTCGATAAGAATAGAAGCTTTTCATTTAGACCCACAGGAATGTAAAACACTCATCAAGGCAGAAGGAAGAGTTCAGTGCAAAGCATTATAAGATACTGAGTTCAAAACCAGAAATACCTAGTGTTGTGTATTTATGGCTGAATATTACTGTATAAAGAGGAAATTGAGGTTAGATGCTGAATTATATGAACTTTATTCATAGAAAAGATAGACAGCACTGCACTCTTGCATGTCTGAGTTTGTAACTGTGTGGTTTTCTGCTCACTCTATTTCTTTAAATTTTCTAGAGTTTTCTAAGTGTACTGCATATTTGTATTTATCTGAACCATAACCAGACAAATATTAAAATAAAGTTATATTCATTTAAAAAAAAGAAAAGAAAAGTTCCACAGGTCAATAAATTTAGAGGAAAATGAGTATTTGACCCAACAGAGGGGGTTAAAAAAATCAAGATTTTAGGACTTTTATTTTTTCTTTTGTAATTGTGGAAAAAATGGGAAAAAAAACATAAAAAGCAGAATTTTAATGTGAAAACATTTTTTGCTATAATCATTAGTTTTAGAGGCATTGTTAGTGTGTGCAGAGTCCATTTCCCACATCTTTTCTCAAGTATCTTCTATTTTTATCATGAGTTTTCTTTTAATCAACTGTAGGTTATTTAAAATAAATTCTTACAACTTACTGGAGAAAAAAAGAAAAAGAAAAATCATTTGAGACTTACCCACATGCTTGGTCTTGGCAGGAACTGGCAAAATAGAATAGGAATCAATAAATTTGAGGTGATTAAAAGAATCGAGATGTGTTACATACATTTACCAATTCCCCACAACGAATGTACTGCAACATGTACTAATAAAAAGAACAAATAAGAAAACTGAGGGTGATTCTTAAGTAGATATGACACATCTAGTTTTGCCAAGAATAAATTTAGGGAAAAAGAGACACTTACCTGCTTACCAATTCCTTTGTATCAGCCAGTTTCTATGGAAAACAAAGATACATCAATGAGTTAAGAATAGATATAGGGGCCTGGCCCTAACTCAGTTGTTTAAGTGGCTGCTTCCACAAAGCTGTCAGCCTCAGGTTGCTGTAGTTTGATCCCCACAACACTCCAGCTAGCCAAAGCACCCCTGAGGGCATTCGGATCAAAAAAAAAAAAAAAGAATAGATATAAAACAGTAAATACAACTTACTTCATAGTACACTAA